ACTGCAAAGCTTCAAAATCAATAGACAGTGTCTGTGTTTCACTCTCTGCATACGTAACATTCTGGGGAAGACTTTGGCTATCACTGACAGGGGATTCTCTCTCTCGTCCAATTTGATCATCTGACTGACTCGAACTATTACTGGTCATTGATGGTGTGCGTGTGTGTTTCTGATGTCTGCGAAGCTTGGGAACAGCACCAGTATGAGCTTGAGGTCCTGAGTTATCATGCACTGTCTTAGCTTTTCTATTTGAAAGTTTATTTTCCCTACTGTCCTTTTCCTGATTATCCCATGAAGTGACTCCTCCTTGGACTGGCTCCCATGACACATCACTGGGTTCCCCATTTGAATTTGAACTCCCTTCTTCTCTCAGCCATTTCAGGGGATCACCAGCTGCTCGTTTCCTTCTACTTCGACCGGGCTTAGAACACTGCTCATCAGAATCACTTGATTTACCTTTTTGTGATTCCCAGCTGACAGAGCTCACCCCTGCATCTGGATCAACACACTCCCAAGAGGTAAAACTTTCCCCTACTGTTGTTGTATCACTTCCTGGAGTTTGTAAGGTTTGTGTGCTTTCAGAAGATAAAGTATTGCTGAGAGACTTTTCTTGTTCACTATTTTCTACTCTGTTTTCAAGTTCAGAAAGTTCATTTCTATCACTGTCCAATAAATCTTGATACTGATTTTCCGTTCCATTTTCTAAAGGGATATTTAAATCTACATACTGTTTACTTTCATTATGACCTGCTGTTTTTATCTTATCTTGCTGGTATGTTAAGCCAGTCACACCTCCACTCTCTTCTAACCCAGTCTTATCAATACTAGATAAAACAGATTTATTTTTTGTGTCAACCTCTCGTTTCTCAAACTGCACATTTTCAGTTGCTCCTGTAGATGAAACCACTGCCTCACTCATGCTAATCAATGAGAATAAACTTAAATCTTGAGAATCACTTGTTCTATTCTCAGATATCTGATCACTTCCAACAGAAAGTAAAGCAGAATAATCCTCTGCATTTCCTGGTCTCACTAGTGTGGAAAGGGGTTTTCCAAGTCTCTCTTCTACATTACTACAAAATTCATACATAGCTGAATCTTCTTCATCTAAGTTATGAATGATAGGAGTTTCAGTTCCATTCACCTGGGAACCTCTTTCTAACTGTTGCTTTACTGCAGATCCAAAACTTGTCACCAAATCATTAAATTTTGTATCATCTACTTCTTCCTCACATGATGCTTGTAGAGCCAAGTCATCCCAGTCAGTTTCAATATTATCAACATCATTATTTGCTTCCTCAATAAGGAATTTTATTCTGTCTTCATCTGTCATATCAACAAGACCATTTTCATCAATATTCATATCATTTTCTATATCAGTATTTTCTTCCCCAGTTGTTTTCACAGTTACTTCAGGTCCACTAACATCAACATTTTCTCTGCCTCCTTTATTTCTCACCTGACAATCTTCCACAATCTGGCTATTTTGTTGATTTTGTACAGTGCCAATTTCTTCCTCATCTTCATAGCCTTCAACAATAACATCAGCATCCTCATCTTCACATCCTTCCACTACGTTCTGAATTTTCTGACTTGGAGAAAGGTGCAGATCCACTTGCTTGTGCACAACAATTTCTCCTTCTTTCAGAGGCAGATTAGGATCAACATTTTTCTTTTCCAAGGTATTATCACAGTTTTCATTTTTAATGGTACTATTTGATTGGGCACTTTTCAAGTTTGAAATAACATTCAAAATCCTACTGTTACTATCATAGTGTTCTTTCATTTCTGAGATCTTGTACTTCGGGACCCCATGTATATTCCGTTTTGCAAGTTCTTTGGGGCTGAACTTCCAACCTGTCTCTGGCTCTAAAATGTCAACTTCATAACCATGATGCAAAGCCATTATTATGTATGGCTTCATTTCCCAAGCTTGTACATTTGTATTGTCTATGATTACTGGTGTTCTGCCTTCCTGTACCTTCACAAGAGCCCGGTGTTTATTCCAACCATGTGCTTCTGGGAGCCGATGCGGATCATACCTATACACACCTTCTTCATTACAGAAAAAATCATCTGTAGAGAGAATTACACCTGAACGGCCTTTAATAATTTTGGCTAGAGTTGTCTTTCCACTGCCTGGCAAACCACGCATCAAAACCATTATTTTCACACCACTCACAATCTTATTAACAACCTCTTCTCTCTTGCTGATCTTTGCTCGAACTGGTGACTGCTCTTTCACATTAGTCCAAGGTTGGGCAGGAGGTGTCATACTCTGATTTACTGGCACCTTCAGAGGCCAAATCCCACTATATGCTGTTTGTGTAAAAGCATTGGGCACGAATTCTGGGGCTAACACCCACTGCGAGGTATCTTTGATGCAGCTGCTTTCATTGCTCTCAGCAGCATTAATCTTGAGCGGGGAATTAGAAGGTGATGAGACATCACTTTCTATTTCTTTTTCCCTTCTGATTTTGGGTCTCACCGACGGACTTCCAGACTCCTGCTTTTCCCGATTCCTCTCACTGCTTTCTCCTATGATTGTTCCATGTGCCCAAGCTAGGGGAGTCAACACACTTTTGTTTCCCATTAGTCCATTCAATGAGTTACTCCTGAGTAAATTTGGTTCCACTTCCTGTTCTTGGGAGACGCTAGTATTCACCTCTCCCTTGTCCTCAGGCACTTCCTCAGCCCTGACCTCATCCTGTGGCGCTGGTTCTTTGGGCTCAGATGTTCTCCTGACCACATTGTCAGCCAGGACAGCCGCGAGGATGTGCGGCGGCAAATCATTCTCGTCTATCATGGTCATCAGCGTCTCCGAGGCCTTCCTCGTCTCCCACTCGCACCCCTGAAGGACCATCTTGATGACCTCATGCTCCACCAGCGTCCCGAAGACCTCCTCGAACCTCGTCAACACTTCGCCGTGATCAGTGGTTCCCTCCATGGCTCATCCTCCTCTTACTCGACTCTCGCTTTCGAAAACCACAGAATCCTTCTCACATGTATCCCTCTTCTGCTGCAGATTGGCCCATTACAGATGCCACTTTGGTCACTGCATATGAATGGGCTCAATTCTGCAGTCCTTTCCTGTTTTCCTGCTACGCATTCTTATCACATGACGACAATAAACGCAGAAATTCTTGTTACCATAACAAAGTGTAGACTCACAAACTCAAGGAATCCGATACCCTTTCGCTCTTTTTATGGCTCCGCCGATCCCCTTAAGCACTAGCTTTTAACTCTTAATCCTCCTACATTCACTCCCTCACTCACTCATCGCAAATGTTCACCTTAATTGTACACGCTCCTTTCAACTGGGCTTATTTTCGTAGGCTGACGAGTGAGGCTGGAAATAGTAGCTCAGTGTAATGGCTGAGGCCGACTTGTGCGCGTTTCCTCTCACTCATACACATGGCTCTGCATGACGATTTTATATGCGCTTTGTTATCGTATTTTGCACATCATCTAGATATCCCTGGTTATTTCGGTCATTATTACAAAACAGGTGTTCGGCAGCGATAGCGGCCTTTGTGCTCGGTCCCATCTTTGTTTGACGAACACTTGGTGATAAAGGAAAATGAAGATTTTTTTATACAGATATACACTACATATATATATATATATATATATATATATATATATATATATATATATATATATATATATATATATATATATATATATATATATATATATATATATATATGTATAATATATATATATATATATATTATATATATATGTGTGTGTGTGTGTGTGTGTGTATAAATATGTATGTATATACATATATAGATATGGATAAAGATATATGTACATATATGTATATATATGCATATATATATATATATATATATATATATATATATATATATATATATATATGCATATATGTGTGTGTGTGTGTGTACGAGCGTGCATGCGTATATGTGAGTCTGTGTGTGTGTCTGCGTGTGTGTGTGTATGTGTATGTATATATGTATATATGTGTGCATATGTGCATATATATATATATATATATATATATATATATATATATATATATATATATATATATATATACACACAACCAAACGTAAACAGTATATGTATATGCATATATATTTGTGTGTAAATATATATATATATATATATATATATATATATATATATATATATATATGTATATATATACATATATATGTATATATGCACGTGCATCTATGCATATAAACACCAACACACACAACACACACACACACACACACACACACACACACACACACACACACACACACACACACACACACACACACACACACACACACACACACACACACACCACACCACTCACCACTCACTCACTCACTCACACACACACACACACACACACACACACACACACACACACACACACACACACACACACACACACACACACACACACACACACACACACACACACACACACACAATATATTATATATATATTATATATATATAATATATATAATATATATATATATATATATATATATATATATATATATATATATATATATATATATATATAAGCATCATATATTTGTATGCATAGATAGATAGTATATATAGATACAGACATACGTATAAAGGTCTGAAATTCTTACCCACCTCCCGTCTCCATTCCACTCAAGGGCGATCCTCCTTTGTGCGAACGAAACCCGCGCAAAGCCTCGTCGGTCAGTGACGCAACATTCGAGCCAGATCAGGCGCGCATCTCAACTAACCTTGTGGTCATGTCTGATTGTTTCTTTATCCCACCTTTCTCTTTCGCTTAAGCAAATAACTTGGCAAAACTGGATATTGTTTCTTGGTTTTGGATTTTTTTCCTTTGGGGGGAGGGGCGACATTTGGATGAATAGGATTCTATTAAAGGCAGTGATGCCAGTAGTAGGTATCATATAGATATTATATTCGTCATGACAGAAGCATTATTACCATCTGTATCATCATTATGGTTATCGGTCTGGGTATATTATAATCAACATTTCATTGTCATTATTATTGTTTTATTGTTATTTCTATCATTGTTATTATTGATATCATTATCATTGTTATTATCATTACTATTATTATTGTTATCATTACTATTATTATTGTTATTATCATCCTTGCTAGTAATACTATTATCATTACCGTTAAAATCAATATCATTATCACTATTCATTAGTAGGTTTATTAGCTATTTCGTCATTATCATCAATTTAATTTTCATCATTATCATAATTGTTATAGTTATTGTCATCATTCTTGATATCATTATCATTATAACTTTATCATTGTCATTGCTATTTTTGATATTAGTATTATGCTTATCATTATCGTTATTAGTTATTGTAATCATCATAACTATTATCATTCTTATCATCATTATTTTCATTATTGTAATCGTTTAGTAATATAAACGTTTATTACTAATATTGCTGTTATTATCTTTATTATCAGTATAGTTGTTGTTATTATTATCATCATTCCAGCAATTGTTACTACTTTTATTATTATCACTACTTTCTTGTCATTGTTAGACCTTGAAAGAAAACACGATTTCAGCAGAATTACAGACATACATGCGGTCTACATATTTTTTTCTCATATCCTTACCAACCCCAAGTGACATTAATAATTCATATTTAGGTGGTATTTGCTCTAAAGTCGACTTGATAATATCCAGTAATTATTACTGGTTGTCATAATAATGAGGATACCTTCGGTTACCTATAACATTATCATTGACTTTCAACGTTATGATACTATCATCATTATTATCATTATCGTCATTGTCACTATTATCAGTATTGTAGATATCATTATTATTATCATCATTATTATCATGATTACTGTTTCTATTGCTGTTTTTATCATTTATATTGTTACTATTGATATTATCATATTATTATTGTTATCATTATTATTATTACTATTATCATTAATGCTAATCAATATTATTATCTTTATTATTATTATCATCATTATCATTATTATCTTATTATTATTATTGTTGTTGCTGTTATTACTAGGTACTCTATGCCACCGCCTGACATCATTTTATTGTTTTTTCTTTTCATCAGAGCCTTTTATAAAACTTTTGATAATATAAAGATGATAACAGCTGGGATAATGGAAGCATAATCATCTTTATTTTCATTTTCATTTTAATGCTATTATTATTTTCACCATTACCATAAATTATCAATGTTAACATTGTTGTGGCCGCTACTATCACCATTATCACTGCTATTTCTACTATTATCCAATATTAGTATTCGTCATCATTTTTCTGCTGCCACTGTCATTTTTTTCATGAATTGTTATTCATAGTATTCTGTGTGTCATAATCAAATGCATAATGGTCAATTTCATTGTTATTATTCTTTTCTCAAGATTACTATCATTACCATTTTGTTATTGTTTACACTTGGCATGTCATACACATATAAAAGCTGTAGAATGTAAAGAATGATAGTGTAAACAAACAGTTGAAGGTGATTGGGAGAAAAATTGCATGAGTCATATATATGGATAATTGTATGTAAAGTTCGATTTCGAGTTCACAAACTTCGGAACTATAAAATGATAATGACGTCGCTAATGGGTATAAGTATACCAGCGGGGAAAGAAAAAAATGTTATAGCGCAGTTTCGCAATTCTGCAAATGATCTAGATGATAACCCAAACATCTATATATACAACTGTTTAAATACAGATCTAGATGATAACCCAAACAACTATATATACAACTTTTTAAATACATATTTTGACGGAAAGTACCTAAAGGCTATGTGTGATACTCTTTTGTCCCGTTATAAATACTTTGATATATATTCACACCCCCTAACTATAGATATTGCAGTTTATAGAATTGAGCGCTGATAAAGAGTTCTGAGATAGTCTTTTGTCACCACCTGATGTCCGTTTTAATCTAACCCGGCAAAGAATGAAAATATACTATTAAGGAATTCGAATGTTTTATTGTCATAAAAAGAACTCCTAGAGGTCAGTGTCTTACTTTTCATTGAAAATTAATATATCAAATGAATAAAAACGTCAATTACGACGGGAAAAGTCTTCAATCTCAGGTACCCGTACTGCGATCCTCCCTGTAAGAGAATAGAGGACGTTTTAAAGGAAATCGGAACCCTTTTGGCTCTCCTATAGACACCACAATCCCCTCTTCACTGTATAGACACCATGATCGCTAGAATCATCTGTTTACAAGGCGTTGAAGTAACTGGAAGTGCTGAAGTCCTGTCATGTGAAAGTATACCTAAATTGCCCGAAATCTCCCTCTAAATCCTTCTGATCCGCCAATGGACGCCTGAAAGATGGCCCAGTGCAAGCTAACCCCACATGAGTTCATCCAGAATGCTTTCGCGCCCCAGATAGCGATTTTGTGCAGTGAAGACGCGGATAACCTTTGCCTGAAAAATAATTTGAGATTCGTCGAGCTCATCCAGCCCTTCTGTAGACTCAACAATGAGA